ATAATAATAATTATCGTCTCCCCTTTTTGCTTTAATAAATCCCATGTCCATGTTGTTCCAAAACCATTTGTTATTACTAAAACGTACATTCATCTTTTTTGTTTTATTGTTCTTATTTTTTTAATTTATTTTCAATTTTTATTGTTGTTATTGTTGTTATTGTTGTTATTTTTATTGTTATTATTGTTATTATTGTTATTATTTTATGTTTGTTATTTTTATTGTTATTATTAAAATAATAACAATAAAACAATAATATTATTGTTATAATTGTTATTATTTTATTATTTTATTATTAGTATATATATATATTAGTATTTATAATAATATTAAAATTAAACAAACAAACAAAATTTATTATGTTTATAACGGACGTTTATATCTATTTTGATATAAATCAATATTATTTATTATTATTATTATTATATTTATACATTTTCAATAACTATGATATTATATAAAAGTATTATTTTAAAATTTACTATAAATTTTAACAGATAATAAAATTCATTTTGTTTATAACGGACGTTTATAATCTCATATGAGTTTTGTTTTTTCATGTTAATTTATAGTAATTTTTAATTGTAAATTTATAATAAAATATTGGTTTTTTTAAATAATGTTAAAAATAACACAAATGTTTTAATAAAAACCCAAAATAGGTTTTAAAGATTTTTCTGAATTACATTTTGAGTAACTAACAAAACAAAAAACAAAAAATTGGTATTTTTTTCGCTTAATTTGCCGCAAGTTATGGACTTTCTATGTAAAAAATAAAATGAAATTCTATTTGCCGGACTATGGTTAGAATATAATTATAATATAGACTTAATTTAACTATTTTATCATCATAATTCAACGAAATCTAAACATAAAATAATTGAAATGCAATTTAAAATATACAATTTTCACAAAATGACTATCATTAATAACAAAAAAGTCAAACACTCAGACAGCATACCAATATTCTTAATTTTAATTGTGATAATACAAAAAACAACAATATTGTTTTTTGAATAATTTATGCTAGTTTTGTGCAAAAAAGTCAATAAAAAATTTAAGCAAAATGTTATGATAATGCAAACTGTTTTATGTTTGTGGTGTGACGTCATACGTTGTTTGCCCCCACTTTTTGTTATTCTAAATAATATAATTATTACAGCGACATTTTTGGCTGTTTAATTTCCAACAAACATTGTTCTGCGTTGAAACGTTGTTTATTGTTTTATTCAATTTTAAATACTCATTAAAAAAACATTTAGTGTTTGACATTATATGGGATAATTCAAGTTATTCATGGATATGTTTTGAGTATTTCATAGATTCTTGTTTTTGTTTGTTCAAATTGTTAATGATGTAGTCTTTTCTGATTTAATATGTCACATTTGTTGTAAGTATAGTAATTTCAATTACATGCGCAAAGGGGGTGTTAAATGTGTGGTGTATCAATGTTGTAGTAATCATAAAATGTATAATTATATCTGATTAGAATCAATGTAGCAAAGATAAGAAGTGTTATTAATGCAATATCTCAAGAATTCAATTATGCGTTTCCAATTTAATTTGTTATTGGATTGCATGGCTCGGAGTAGTCTTCTCCTTCAACCATCTCTTCTCCTTCGGGATTCTCTGTTCCCGATTCATCATGTGGAAAACAATCCAGTGAGTTTCCTGGCTCAAAGGAAGCTCTCCCACGACTCAAGTAAGTCATCAGGTCTTTCATACTAGAGATTGTGACATCCCTAATTATTTTAGGTAGATCCAATCTGATCTTCAACAGCTTCTCTATCCTTTCCACAGAGAGCTTGTTTATCAGTCCGCTGATCGTTATGACCACTGGAACAGTGGTCACACTTTGCGAATTCCTTGCACCTCGAAGCTTCTCACAAAGTGTGTTATATTTTGACACTTTTCGGAAGTAAGCAGTGGCGAGGGTTTCATCTTTTACAATTGTGACATCAATCACATAACCCTTTTTTGCTTTATTGTCTTGCCAATAAATGTCGGGTCTTCGAGCAAAGCTTTGCCTATCATCACAGAGCAGATTTCTTTCGGCAATGACCACATTCTTCTCCCCTTCTTCGTACATGTCTTTGGGAGGCACCGTCATTGAGGTGTTCTCATCTGTCATCTTCAGCCTCTTCAGCAGTGCCATGTGGATTTTGTCACAGACTACATTGTGTCTGGCTATTTGAGACTTCTTAGTCATTGGACAACTCAGCAAGACGTGTCCTATGTTGGCAATCTGATCTTTTTAGCAGTAGCATCGTGCATCAGACTTATTTCTAGTGATGATTGCCTTCCTCGTCCCACAAAAGGTTGCCTTTTCCTGCATTCTCACCACTTGAATGAATGCATCCCTTTTGATGTTGCAGTTCTTCCATGCCTTTCCTGAGATATCTCTGTTGCATGCGACATTCTCAAGCATTCTAGGAAGAATACCAGCCTCCTTTTTTGACTTCCATTGCTCAAAGTAGAAGGAGTTTATCTTTTCAGATATTGCATTCAGAACCACTACATGCAATATCGACTTGTTTTCTGTGGCTTCTTTCTCTATGCAGTCTTGTAGTTCTTTCTCTGACATCTTCTTTCGCAAGCAGGCTACAGCTCTCTTCATCAGACTGCCAGGAGTATCGGCTGTGTATTGCATAAGGTTTGCAATATTCGAGTCACTGTGCCATAGGTACTTCAAGTAAACTCGTACGATCTCCTTGCCGCATTCGTCTCTGCAACCACTAAGGCCATAGCCCATGTCCATTTGCTTGACATAGATCCGCGATGATGCAAGGCCTTTGCCATTGATCCCTTGTTCGGTGAGGAATTTGCGGATTTTGAGGTCTAATTTGTCAAGATCACCCAGTTTCCATGGAACCACACTGAAACCGTACCTCAGTTTTGAGATAATGTCAGTGTTGATAGTTCGAATAAAATTCACGGCACTTAGGTTCCTTCTTACTATTTTCCTCATGCAGTCCTATATCCCATTTGTGATCCTTGTGCAATAAGTCTTGGTGTCGACTTTTTCGTCCATCTCAATACCAAGGTATTTATAAGGATTGTCACAACTGACTCGTGGGATATCTTGCATGCATTGTGGGACTTTGGCACCAAAGCGGGCAGCTACACAACACTTTGCTTGGTTGACTTCCATCGCCATTGCCTTGAAAGATTCACATATACAGTAAAACCTCCCAAGAGCGGGCGGGTGTCGGAATTTTGTTCTTTCAAGAGCGGGCATTTTTAGCCAATCAAACCTTAATTACCTCTCGATAGAGAACTTTATTTTTAGTTTCAGTCTAAAAAATGCCCGCTCTTGAGAGGTACCGCTCTTGGGAGGTTTTACTGTAATAGTGTGAGCTTGTTCCATTTCCGATGTTGTGGAAGCAAGTATTCTAAGGTCATCCATGTCGAACGTGTGCCCCAGAGTGATCGTAACGCCTTCGACTTGACTTTCGATTCTGGTAGGCTCAACTGTTTTGTTTAGACTCTTGGATATGCAGTCTATTGATATCACAAACAGGAGTGGCGAAAGTGAGTCTCCTTGCAGGATACCATTCCTCACCTTTACATCCCCCATTATGTCTCCGTTGTACAATAGTGAGATCTTCCAATTATTCATCATGGTTTCGATGATGATTATGATCTCTTCGGGTATATTGTAGAATTGGAGACATTTTGACAGCCACTCGTGGTTTACACTGTCATAGGCTTTTCTGATATCATAGTAAGCCTCCAGGTACTGCCTCTTGCTTTTTCTGAGAGCGGTCGGAAAGAGGATGTTTTGTAGCAGCCCTATTTTTGAAGCATATGTATGCTTATTGCAGCCCAACTGGTTCTTTTCAAGTTGCTTCTCAGCTGGATTAATGTCAAGTTGTGTCTCTATCTTGTGCTTCAGAATAGAAGTGAACACTTTTGTGACAACATTAAGACAAGTGATGGGGCGGTAGTTGGCTGGATTTGTAATATCATCACCCTTATGAATCAGTACCGTCCTCCCCGTTACATGTTTTGGGGAATCTTATCTGGGTACTTGTACCACTTCTGGTATATTCGCAACAATGAATCATGCAAACAAGTACAACGTTTGATGTAGTACCCAGAGATCTTGTCTAGTCCAGGAGCCTTCCAGTTAGCGATGCATTTGACAGCCAGCAACATTTCATCTTTTGTTATCTGTTGGAGGTGATAATTCTTCTCTTCACAATCCCAAATCTCTTTGGTGTAGACACTGGTCTTGTCTACCTCCTTGACAACTTCAAAGAGATCGTGCCACAACTCAATCGTTTGTTCAGTTGATGGAAAAGTACTAGATTGTTCGTTTCTTACAATACTCCGTTTGTGGAACATCATTCACTTCGAGTTTAGCCTTATTCTACTTAGGCTCTTTTTTCTAAACTCCATTTCCAACAAGTGGGAATTTCGCAGATACCGGAAGTAGACAATTTTGTCACGTGTCTTTTGGAGGACTTCCTCATCACTGCTCCTATTCAATTTGAGCAAATTTCGAAGCTTTGTGATGTTTCTGCATTTAAGGAGATCTGTGTATTTGTTGATGATGGCCAAAAATTTGGTGTCTCTACTAACAGTATCGAGAACACTGGTTTTAGTTTGAAGGAATTGTTTTAAGGCATATGACACAGCACTGATATGATTCTGATAATCTCCAATTGTGTAGATAACAGGTTTGAAATAGTTATCCAAATACTCAATCAACTTTTTGATGAGTTTGTTGTTACTGTAATAGTTTACATACGCAGTCCCTTCATGCTTCTTCTCGAGTTCTTCCTTAATGATTCCAACAAAATTGTCATATTCAATTTAGATATTGTTGCGTTTGTTGATCAGAACATCGAGTTTAAGAGCCTTAGACTTTTCTTTGTCAGTCACTACTTTTTTCATGTACTCATTAGCATCATGCTTCTGTTTGTTGGTGATACAATGACATTCTCGGACAAGTCCTTTCAGTCTTCCGGGACCGGATACATCAACACCCAGGTTGTGAAGTATCCCCAAACATTCATCTTCGGAGAGTTTTGTTTTTAACATTTTTTCGAATTTTGAAAGTGCACAAATAGTCATTCTTAGTTTGATAGTTTTACTCAATATGTGTGGTTGAATTCTATTTTCTTCAGACTGGCCCCGGTCTGTGGCTGTATCGGTTGCTGACGCATTGTCACCAGGGCATCGGATGGTTCTTCGACAATTGGAGTCGTCCTCATATTGATCGGCGAGTATTGAGGAGGTTCTAAGATGATCTTCTGAACTGTCCCTGCCACTACATTGATCCCGGTCACAAGTTGACCGGTCAATGCCGAGTTTTTTGTACTTCTGCCCCTATACTATTTATAACTTGCTCAGGTTCGCAACAATAGTTGTCATATTTCGATCTAAAATAGCTATACTTTGATTTGTGTTTTGTTGCAAACTGCCCAACTTTCCAATATTTTCATTTAGAAGTTGTTGGTTGGTATAGAGTTGACTTGTTGTCTGGTTAAGAGTTTCACTGATTTTGTTAGTGTTCTCTTTATCCACCATGTCAAGTTTTACTAAAGCACTCTGAACAGAAACCGTGAATGAATCATTACTTTTCTTTTGATCATTCAATGTTGTGTTAACATTTTGTATTTTTTTAATCATTTCATCTTTGAGCTGGTTGATGTTCTTCTCAACTTTCTCTAATGAGTCATCCAAGGCGAGATCAAGTTGATCTACAGCATTCTGGAATTTGGTGGCTGCTCTATCAATGTTGTTTTCAGAATCTGTTCTGGCTTTAGTGATATCATTCCTAAGTGGAGTGATTTCAGTTGTGACGATTCCTTTGATATGATTCACAAGAGCTTCTGATCTCAGCACTTCTTGATTTAACTCTTTGGAATTTAGTGCTGGTGTGCTCTTTTTATTTAAGTGTTTGTTGACCTTCTCTTCAATCTCGGCTTGTTTCTTCTTGATGGTAAGGAGTGTGCTCTCGAAGTTGCTGATCCTTTCCATGATTGTAGGAAGCAAAGCGAGCTGTTTCTGTATTTCTTCGAGGATTGATTTCTGATATGCGATTTCAGTGGTGTCATTAATTGTGATGATATTTGCTGAGTTCTCTTCAAGTGATTGTAAATTGAATTCATTTCCTTAGAAGCTACTCTCTCCGTTGTTCTGTGTGTTGTCTTAACTATCTTCTTCTTAATGGCTGTTGGTCTTTTCTTTTTTGGCTGCTGTCGCTTACCCTTTTTACTCTTTTTGGGTTCAACCTTGTCTTTTCTTGCTTTGGGGGCTATCATGATACGGTTCTGGATCATTGAGTTATCTTTCGGGGTCAGTTTGAATCACTCCCTCTGTTCGATCATTACCGGAATTGGTACTTTGCCAAATCATCGATTGACCTTCCGGGTCCTCAGTGGCTAGAACATGGTTGCTGAAAGAGTAAGAAGGGACAACCCGGTCTTCGACTTCAATAGGACCATTTTCTCTAACGGAGTACCATTGGTGGGTCTTGGTGTCGACTGTGATACCGTCCATGTTTTTGTGCAACACACCAGGCTTTGATCTATAAATAGGCGCATATAACTGTCTCAGTTTGATGTCCTGGATCAAACGAGGCAGTCCAAGCTTCTTGGTCCGCTTGGAGTTTGGGAAAATCGCAACCCTAGCTGGAATATCAAAGAGGAATCTAATGTATCTAGGGTTGTTGGCAAACTTGAACCATGGTGTTTGCGCTAGTTTTCTCCTGCCGAGAAACATCTTGGGTATTTGTGGTGTCTCCGTCATGCGTCTGTAGATCTAAAAGTGTTATTAATGCAATAACCAATGTAAAAAAAGATTTGTATGAACTATTGTATATATCTACTAATTTTTATTAATTAACTCTGAAATGTGTTATAATCAACAATTATGAATTTTAAACAGTCAGTGTTGTAAAAAAGAATTTATATAACTATAATTTTATATGAAAATATGACCTGTAAAGACAGTTTTGTGAATTAAAATATTATATTTTAACACGTTTGGTTGTCTCCTTGTTATTATTTATTAGGCAGTGTTTAAATTTTTAATCAAAATATGGTACAGATACAGGAAAAACCAGGGACCAAATCATAAACCAGGGACCAGACTAAATTGGACTGTTTTATTTTTGGTATAAAGTTTCCTTGTTAAAGTAAAATCCCCAAATAATCGGGTTTTTGGAGGATGTGTTGGTTTATTTTCAAAAACCAGGGACCAACTATTAATAAACACAGCGTTTTTTTAAATAAAATAGAAAAAACTATAAAATATGAAACTCTTAAATAATCATTCAGAGTTGCTTCTATAGTTAATGCCCAGCCGAGCCAAGGTAATGTTTGTTATTAATATTGATTTATCTCTTGTTGTTGAATACGTTTAATAATTATTAATCATTTGCTTTATGTCTAACATACCAATAGTTTATTTATTCTTTACTTTATTTTTATTTATTGCGTGAGTCACTTTTAATGCTGAACGAAAAGTGACTCATCAAATTAACCGAGTGAATAGAGAAGACTACGAAATCTTCTTTGAAAAAATGAATAAACGATTTAATTAAATGGTTGTGTTGAAGTTAAAAAAGGTTGAACAAAAGAATAATATTTTATAATAAAATAATAATTAATAATAATAAACTCATGATTATAACTCGCATTAAACTGTTGCTTGTTCAAACTTTATACAACACATTCATTTTTTTCTTCCCGAAAAATAACCGTTTTTAATACCAAATAATAAGAAAATTACACATTTATTTATATATTCGCCCGTTTTATTGTATAAAATCCGCTTAATATACAATAGCTAAAATTAGTCTGGTCCCTGTTTTTTCCTGTGGTCCCTGTTATTTCCGCTATTTGTAAATAATATTTTAAAACTGATTATAATTGTATTTTATCATTTTATCTTACAAATATACATAAATGTTGTCTATAAACAATAAAAATGGCCATGATTTATTAACTTGGATTTCGCAATTGTGTAAAATGTCCACCTGAAGTGCAATGTTGAATGAAGTCCT